TGGTTTTGGCAAGTTTGATTACAGTATGTCTTGGTGACTTTCTTTTGGGATCTACCTTGTGTGAGGTTCGATGAGCTTCTTGGATAGATATCTTCTTGTCTTTCACGACACCAGGAACATTTTCTGCCCACAAATCATCAACAGTTCTCTGTGTGTTTTCTGTTATCTCCCCGTTCTTTTACTCCAGTCACTAGTATGTTTTTCCTCTTAGTGTCCCATATAATTCTTAGAATTTCTTCATTTTTAAAAATTCTTTTATCTGATTTTTCCTCAAATAAATTGGTGTCAAGAGCTTTATCTTCAATTTCACTAATTCTCACTTCCATTGCCTCATTTCTTCTCCTGTGACTTTTTACTGAGTTGTCTACTTCTGAAATTTTATTGTTAATCTTTTGGATTTCTAGTTGCTGCCTCCCTATGGTTTCTAGCAGCCTGTTAAATTTGGTGTTCTGTTCTTGTATTGCTTTCCTGAATTCCTATATTGCTTTGTCTGTGTATTCCTTTGATTAGTGTGAGTTTTGCCTGATCTCTTGAAGAGCTCCGTATAGTAATCTTTTGAATTCTAACTCTGATAATTCCAAGTAGTTATCTTCCTCTGAAAGGTTTCCTGATTTCTTTGTTTTAGTTGCTTGCTGGAGCCATTTTGACCTGCTTCTTTGTATAATTTGATATTGACTGTTGTCTCTGAGCCATCAATAAATTGTTATATTTATTTATTGCATGTTTGCTTACTGTGTTGGTTTTTTTTTTTGTTTGTTTGTTTGTTTGTTTTGATATGCCCAAATAGACTGAGCATGTGAGCTACTTTGGTTATTGGCATCTTTGAAGCTCTCAAGTCCAGTCACCAGGTGATTAGAGCTGCTACTAGGTGCGTGAGCCCAGAAGTCTGTTTACTTTTCTTGTGTGGATTCAGCTCAGGTGTCCAGGTCGTCAGGCACCAAGTTTGTAGTGCAGACTCCCACCTACAGTCCTAGCTGGGCGGGGCTGCATGGTGTGATTGGAGCAGGCATGGGTATCTGGCTGCAGTAGTGGGCTATGTGATGAGCAAAGTAGGGGCTGATGGCTACCCCGAATGCCTATTTGGAAGGCATGTCCCTGTCCCCTAAAGTGCTTAGGTGGGTGAGTTTTGCAGCTGAACTTCAGGCACCCAGTGCTGCTCTAAATGGTGGGAGGCACCAGTTATTCTTGGACCCCTGTCATGAGTGGCTAGGTGGAATGGGTGATACTGCCAGTCCTCAGGCCCTGATATGGGTGGGTGAGGACCCTGCTTAATGGCCAGGGTGGTGTCCAATGTCATGAATCTACAACTCCCCCTTAGCTGCTGCAATTGAAAATAGGCTTCAGGTATATATCTTTTTGTTCTATGCTATTGAGGACCTATGCTATTGAATCGGACTGCACAGGTGTAGGTGGGGGTGGAGGGTGTTCAAAGGCCATGGACCCCTTATGCCAGTGCCTAGGCAAAGGGACAGTGCCTGCCCTGAGTTCCCAGCTTAGGAGGCGTGGTGATTTTTTTAACCCGTGAGACTCAGTTCCTGAGTTCCCAGCTTAGAGGACTTGGCAGGTTTCTCTTTTCCCTAAAGCCGTGAGACTGGTTTGTGTGTGATAACTCCTATTTCCAGCTTAGAGGATGTGGCAGTTGTTGAATACTGCCGGACTGGTATTGGAGCTGAGTGGGGACGGGGGTGGGTGAGGGGAAAGTGGCACTTCTCCACTATGAAAGTCCTGGAGGGGGAGGGGTTATTTTGATCCTGTGTGGTAGGTTAGATGTTTGCACTCAACTTTAACAGATCCAGCGCCACGTCCCCCTAGGTCCGGAGGCTTGTGCAGACTCCGACGTCCAGTCTCTCCCGACATGGTGAAATGCTTCCCAAGTGCTACTGCTCACCTCAGCCTGCGTGCGTCAGCCGACCCAGCCTGCAAGGTGCTGGCTAGCTTAAGACTGGCACTTCTCCACTGCGTCTGAGCTGTCTTTCCCTCCCCCTGTCACTCAGTCCAGCTTCTCAACTTTGTCGTTTATGATCAGGGCCCCTAGATTGTCATATATAATCAATTTACTTGCTTTTTGGGTCTTTGTTGTAAGAGGGGCCACAGGAAGCATCTGACTATTCTGCCATCTTGGCCCCGCCTCCAACAGTTCTTTTCTTTCTGCACTTTAGATATGTTATCCCACTGCCTTCTGGCCTCCATAGTTTCTGAGGAGAAATTAGTACTTAATCTTATTGGGAACTCCTTATATGTAATGATTCACTTCTTTTACTGCTTTCAGAATTCTCTATGTTTATCTTCGGTTTTTGAAAGTTTGACTATAATGTGTCTTGGTGTAGGTCTCTTTTGGTTTGCTTATTTGGAGTTCCTTGAGCTTTTTGGATGTGCAGATTCGTGTCTTTCATCAAATTTGACCTGTTTCTGGCTATTATTTCTTCGAATATTCTTTCTGCCCTTTTCTCTTTCTCTTCTCCTTCCAAAACTCCCATAATGCATATGTTGGTCAGCTTGACAGTGTCCCACAAGCCCTTTATTCTCTGTTCACTTTTCTTCACTCTTTTTTTTCTTCTAAGACTTGATAGTTTCAAATTTCTTATCTTGAAGTTTGCTGATTTTTCTCTTCTGCCAGCTCACATCTGCTATTGAAGACTCCCAGTGAATTTTTCAGTTCAGTTATTGTATTTCTGAGCTACAGAATTTCTATTTGGTTTCTTTTTATCGCTTCTATCTCTTTATAAGTATTCTCATTTTGTTCTTACATCATTTTCCTTATTTCATTTAGTTCCTTGTTTATGTTTTCATTTAGTTCTTTGAGCATACTTAAGACAGTGTTTTAAAGTCCTTGTCTAGTAAGTCCAATCTCTGGGATTCCTTGGGTGATGGTTTCTGTTATTTTGTTGTTGTTGTTCTTTTTGAATGAATCAAACTTTCATGTTTCTCTGTATGCCTGTTTCTTTAGCTTCTGTTCAGTTTGTGTCTTGACAGAGATTTCTTTGAGTTCCAGAAGTCAAAATATAAAGAAAGAAAAATAAAAACCCCAAAACAAAAATCAAGAACAGAATAAAATCACCGCTTCCTGTCTTTGCAGATTGGCCCTGCACTGGGACATTCCTTCAACACTTAGCCAGACTTACATTGAGTCTAGCGATCAGCCCAGTGTGAAAGCTTAGGGTTTTCTCAGTTCATCTCTGAGAATTTGTCTTGCCCTGGGCATACATGTAGCTTTCTAAATTCCCCTCCCCCCTCTTGCGTGGATGCTTTCGAATGTCCTTATTTTTTAAAGACACTTCCTTAGCCTTGCCTTCCAGCCCTTAAGCAGTCTGTTGTATATCTTAATCACACTCTTTTGCCCCAGACAACTACAGGTTGACTGTTCACCTTACAGTGTTTGAACAATGCCTGACGTTTTCCATCCTGCATGAGTTCTGAGATAGGTGAATCAGAGACAAGTGCCTTGCTTCAGTCCTTTAGGTAGCCATCTGACAGATTAGAACAGAGAAACTCAATAACTTCTGAATAAGGTTTGCTCTTCTTCCTCTAGAACCAGGATCCAGAGTTCCCACACTGGGAACAGAGGCTGCTCCCTTCAAGCCAGCTGCTGAGTCAGGGAGAGGGTAGGGCATGAGCAAGTAAAGAGCCATGCCACAAAGCTTTCCTACCGTTGTGAAGCTGTGTTTTCTTACTTCAGCATTCACTTGGCTGCTGTGAACCTTTGACTATTTTCCAGAGTTCTGACAAAGTTGGTTTTGATAGTTTCTGCTTATTTTTGGATGTTTCTGAGGGAACGGGGACATGGGAGTATGGAGCTTGTTAGTCTGCCATCTTGCTGATGCCACTCCATTGAATTTAATATAGCAAATATATTTATGGCCTGCTCTGTGTAAGATGGAGCCCTGGTAACACAGTCATTAAGAGCTTGGCTGCTAACCAAAAGGTTGGCAGTTCAACTCCACCAGCCACTTCTTGGAAACCCTGTGGGGCAGTTCTATTCTGTCTACTCTGTCGCTATGAGTTGGAATTGACTTGACTGCAATGGGTTTGGGTTTTTTTTTTTTTTTTTTTTTTTTTAATTTATGTGTAAGATAAATGCTGTACATTGTATAGAAACTACAATAAAGTTCCTGCCATGAGGGAGCTATACTCCAGTAGAAACAGTAGAGAATAAGGAAACTAATGTGAATTGTATACCTCCTATATACTAGATATGCTCCCAGAACCTGTAAATATTTTATCATGTTTAATCTTCAGGATAATCCTGAGAAATACATAGATTACCCCTCCCCTCTCCTATTTTATAAGTTTGAGCAAATAAGACTTTGGTAATTTAAATGATTTTTGCAAAATTATACAGCAAGAAGTGTATTTAGCCAGGATTTTAACCTTGGTCTACCTGAGACATGTACAAGTAAGTATAGAAAGCAAAATGAGGCATACAATTAAACAGGCATAAAAATGGGCTATCAAGTTTTAAAGCCATTGATTTTTTTTTAGTTCAAGAATATTTAAGGAAGACTTTACAAAGAAGGTACCATTTGAACTGGGCTTTGTAGGTTGTGGGTAGGATTTTAACAGGAGGATATGGCAAGGAAGACAAGTGAGTGGTAGAGCTGGGATTATAGCCAATTAAATGTGAAGCCAAAGCCTATCCTCTTTACATTACTCAAAACTAGGACAGTGAGAGCAAATATGGGAATCTAATGAAACTGAGTTATGGAAGAAAAGGCTGAAAAGGAAGGTCAGAACTAGAACATAAAAGACTTTCAGTCCAAATACAACATGTTCTAAGTTATAGAAGAAATCATTCCAAACACCAGAATCACCTATGAAGATGACATTTTATTTTGCTTCTTGGCAACTCTGATCTCAGAACCAGAATTTCAGAAGGGCTGGTTGGTTGAATGGTAATGGAGGAAGATGGAGGTAGGAAAGGGTGTGGGACTACACAGCAAGAGAACCAGGAAATGCTTTTGATGGGAGCCAATGTATTTTCTGATGTATATGTTTATTTATAGAACAAACCATTTTACCATATGGAACCCCTATCAGAGGCTGATAATGAAAAAGCAAGAAGTCAGACAATCGCGAAACTACGTGATTTATTGGATCTTGCACAGAAGGAAAAAAAATATGTGATATTTGATCTTGTAGCTCCTCCACCAAAACATCCTCACAGAAACACATATGTCCGACTGGTAGTAAGGGTGATCCTTGACTCTAAAATTGAGCCACATCTGGTACGTCTGTTTCAGTGGTTATAGTAGAGATTGGGAGGTGGATAGCATGTCCCAGGAGCACCTCAGATGGACATGACCAACCGTATGGATCCTGCTTGGGATCCTTAAGTAATTTTGCTTCCTGTGGAAATAGAGATTTGTTGCTTACACAGCTAGATGCAGCAATCTGAGGATGACCCAGTTAAATACCAAGTAGGCCATTTACTATTCCAAACCAAATGAAATGTCAGCATCCTGTCGAAGAGGAATGTTTATAATGACCATGTGATGTGACCTGCCCCATCACATCACTAACATAGATCTATTAGAAGGAGCCTGGGTAACATTAAGGCTTTGAGAACTTGGCTTTGATGAATAATGTAGAAAGGGCAGCTGGTTCATATTTGAGCAGAGACTTACTCATCTTATTTTTCAGAAGCAGCTCTCTACATTTGGGCAGCTAATTCACAGAATCATATGGAAGAGTATTAGGAGTGACACAAGTATGAATTTTTTTTGCAAATGGAACTATTTTCACAGATGAGTCATAATAGCATTCCCTGTTGGCAGGAAATGACTCCTCTCAAAGATTATTTTCAGCAGCATCATCCAGAGGAGAAGTTTGATTCCTACCCTTCATCCATATCTACCCACTCACCATACAGTTTGCCCAGTATGTGACTTTCTGCATACAGTGAACCCTTAGTCCATGACGTTAACTTGTGGCTGAGAGGTCCTGAGAAAACTCAGCTCCAAAACAACTCTGGGGAAGAAATGAGAGCTCATTAGACAATATTAGGCCAGGCGGATCCTTTTAACAAGGGCCAGAATCACTCTCTGTACATCCTGTAGACTGTTAACCAGTGCTAAAATGGTGCTCTGTCTATTCTACATGGGGCTGTTTGCACCTAGACAGACGATTATCCACTGAAGGACTTAATTGTTTTTCTTTACAGATCTTTTGGTTGCCAGGTTTTGATAGGGACTATGTCAGGCTTATGGCTCCTGGTTTTCAGCAAGTGGGCCGCTTATACTCCCTTGATAAACTTTCAAAAGAAAATATAAGAATAGTAAATGTTGACTACAAGGAGTTGTTTTACGACGGATTGAGGTAAGTGATTGACTACACCTCTCTTAGCATGTGTTGCCTTACTTGCACAAAATCCAGATTCCAACTAAGCTACTAGTTTTCTCTTTCCATCTCAGGATTGCTATGTGCAGTCATCTTGGAATCGCCTCCTTTCTCCTTCCTACCCCACCCTCCTTCAACGTTTCACTTTTCGCCTATCTCTTCCCTTCCCTCCCTCTGCCAACAAATATTTATCAAGTATGGACTGTGTCCCTGGACCATAGTCTTAAGCCCTTTCTTTTTTTGTGTACCAATCCCTCATCATTTAACACACTCTTTTGTATAGTTTGCATTTCTGATTTTATATGAGGTGAACATGGAAAAGTCAGAACTTAAAAAGTTTTTTTTATTTCTTCCTGCCATTACCAGATTGATTGCAGTGTCTCATATATAGCTTCATGATCCAGATAGCAAGATTTCTAGTAGGCACAATTAAGAATATAACTAAATCATTCTTTTTTAAAAAAACTTAAAGTTTCAAGCAGCCAAGCATGAGAAGGAACTAAAATTGTTAACCACCACTTTCATAAATATACAATTGGAGAAAAATTTTCAGAATTAAAAGCAGGGCTAGATTAAGGCATGGGAGGGCCCTAAGCACCAGTAATCTGTGGAGTCCCCTCCTCTATTTACTCACACATTCAAACAGGATATGTGAGTTATGTATATACATGTATATATATATGTGTGTGTGTGTGTCTTAGCTATCCATGATGTAACTTCTTTTAAAATGTGACTATAATATTAGCGATTGAACGCAAAAGTGGTGTATGCCATTGTAGTGGAGTGAGATGAATTAGATTATAAATTTTTTAGTGGATGCAGGGTACTAACATTTTTACTATATACCACATTTCTACAAAAAGAAATTTTACAACAAAGAAAATGACTCAGTGAACTTAGTTGTTTTCAACAATCAGTGTATAATTCTGTTGATCTCCCACAACAAAAAATTAACTTTCACCAGTTTTGCTTTAAATGGTTCATACTTCCATTTTTATGCTTGTTGCATAATAAATTCTATAATAACAAATGAAAAGATGTCATAAAAGAAAATTTAATGATCAGAAAACACAAATTACTATATTTTATTTTCAGATCTTTCATCTCTTATAATTAAAAATATTTTTTCTATTCTTTGCTCTTACAAATTCTTCAATGATTTCATCGGAATTAAACTGCCGAAAAATATCTACTTCCATACATAACATGGATAATTAATTGAGTCTTTCTTGAATCGTTGTATGCTGAGAGTTTTTGAGTCTCTTTAAGGACGAAAATGAGCGTTGTGTTGTGCAGTTTGTGATCGTTAAAGTTAAGAATATGCAAAAAGCAATTTCAACATTGGTAAATAGGCATTGCATTTTATCTTCTGTTAGGGAATCATACATGCCTACATGAGTAAAATTTGTCTTTACTAAATCTGTAAACTTAGTTCTCATTTAAGAATGAAATTGTCGCACTTCTCCATAAAGGTTTGTATTTAAGTCATTGGGATAAGTGTGTACTAATTTCTTGGATGCCTTTATGCATTCTTCAGCAGGTATATCCACATTGTTTAAGAAGGAATCTTTTCATATAAGATTCAAGTGTGTCAGTGATGGTGTAGTGTATAGTTACATGAAATTGATCTCTGGCACTCATTACTTCTGGAGCACTTCCGTCATTTATTTGTTATTTCTGTTGCTTCTGTGATGGTGAACTGCTTGATAATCAGTATTTGGCAATATTTGTTTTATTGTGTTTTCAAAATTTGCAAAATCTTCTCTTAAATTATGTAAATACTCTGTTAATGACTGGTAGAGATATATGCATGTCTTTAAATTTACTTCTGAATCTTGGCAAGCTTGACTTCGTCCGATGAAAACGCTGCAATATATTATTCCACATAACCAGCATAAATACATACTCTCGTGTTTGCATTTTGTTGGCGATTTTTTCAACTTCTCTTTTGGGATCTCCTTTTTGTGTCTTCTCTTTAGCAATATTTCCTAAGGCATCTAGAATCTGAGAGTACGATTCCAGGATGGCACTCGTTACAGCATGTGCTTCCCAATGTATGTTAGAAACACATGTTAATAGTCAGTCATTGCCTAAATACGTTTTAAGAACTACCCGTTGATGGGTACTCATTGCCATTGGGTCGATTCTGACTCATAGCAATCCTTTAGGACAGAGTAGAACTGCTCCACAGGGTTTCCAAGGAGTGGCTGGTGGATTCAAACTGCCGACCTTTTCGTTAGCAGCCAAGCTCTTAACCACTGCGCCAGCAAGGCTCCATTAGACATGGCAGAATATGTGTAGAGTAACCAAACAGCAGGAGAAAATCAACTGCTTCCAGACAACAATCTACTGCACTATGTCCTACGAGATTAAGTGAATGTGCAGCACATGGTATGAAAATGGCATATGCATTGTGTTCTAAAATTTTCTGTTTCATGCCTTTATAATGCCCTGACACACTGACAGCATTGTCATAGGACTGGCTTCTGCACTTAGAAAAATCAAATCTTCAAACTTCACATAAGTAGTGAAGTACTTGATTTGCAGTTTCTTCACCGGTATGACTTTTTAAGCTAGTAAATGTGATAAATCGTTTGGCAGATTTTCCATCTGTTGGAGATATGTATCTTAAAACAATACCCAGCTGATGTGTATGAGAAAGATCAGGAGTGCAATCTACAGACAAACTGAAGTACCAAGCTATAGTTATTTCACTGAAAATAGTTGATCGAACTTTGTCACTTACTAAGTTCATTAATTCTTCACACATTGTTTTAGACATATACAATGGGTTGTCCTTTCCTGTGTTACCATATTTTGAGATGTGACCTGCTAAAAATGGATCAAACTGAGCAATAAGTTCAAGTACACTCCCCAAATTTCCATTTGTGGGGACCTAAACACTTCATTTATTCCTTGAAAAGATAGTCCACATTCAGTAATTACTATAATGACAGCAACAATGCATTGCAAAATGGCTTTCCAATACTAACATTCTTCATTAATTTGTTTCCAGTTCATGAGTTAAGCCAAAACCATGTCTTCAGTTTAAATATGACAACATACAATCTCTGTGAATTGAACTGTTTTCATGTTTATCAATTATATTCAGGTTGCACCAGTTGCTAAATACATCTGTAGCAAATCAAGAATTAAATGATTTAGAACTGAATAGTGTGCAAACAAAACAATTTAGAGAGCCGTCTGATGGAGAATACGGTAGCCACTCCCTCTTATAATTTTCACCATTAGCTTTGCACTCTAGAAGTATGTTCTGGCTACAGAACCTTATTTGTTTACTGTCCAGAAATTTTCAACACGAATTTTCAAATGGTCCACTGTGCTGCTGACAATCACTTGGCCCTCTTTCGATCCAATTATTTAGATAATTAGAAGAAAAATTATTTTACAGAACAGGCTCTGTATTATTTATCGCGTCTGCAGATGTGACAATTCTAGATTCTAAAATAGTTTCACTTTCTACACCATTATTATTTTTTTTACTATAGCAAGGAATAGATGCAGAATTTGGAATAAATTCTGTTATGTTTGTATTGCTATTAGTAATTTCAGCCCTAGCAATACTAGTGCAACTATTTGCATCCATTAAACTTGAGCGTACAATGAAAGAAGCCTCTTCTGATTCATTACATTTTAGAAAGGAAGTTAATTTTGGAGTTGTCGTTAGGGATTCACGAATCCTTTTCTTTTTATCTTCTGCGAGGTTTCGTTCTTGCACTCCACTTAGTTGTTGCTGTTTCATTTTACCTGGCTACAAAATTATGTCACTTTCTAAATTTGGTCCTACCATAGCAAATAAATTTGAATAATTGAAAATAAATAAAATTTATAAAATAAAATTTACATTCAAAGTTGGACGTTAACACAAAAATTTACATTTTAAAATTATTAAGTAAAAAAAATTGATTTGGAACATGTAATTTTGCTCTTCAGGTCTGAGACAGTCACAAGGCAAGTCAGAAATAATTTTATTCATTTGTCATATGATGTTTGTTGGCAGGCCCTTTGCAGATCTCCATGAGTATTTTGTCTTGGAATAATACTTAAAAACCTGTATGCTCACTTGCTGTCCTTTGGTGCTGCGTCTTCACAGTTATTAGACTACTGCCGACACCCAACGGGGGCGAGAGCAATCGCAAAGATCATGATACAAATACAAGGGTATGCTCAACCTGAAGACACATTTTGGTTCGCTTTGCACAGGACATTTTATTTCTTTGTGGAATTGTTCAACTCCCATGTTTGGATTACGTACATAATTGATGTAACAATAGGACCACTTCTTGACGAGTTTGTTTTGCGAGTCGTAACAATATCAATTTCTTAAAAGAAATTTTAAGGGAAATGGAAAATACATTTATATAATTTTTATTACCTAAATATTCATTTGATTTATTTCCTTGAGGAATTGTTCAGTTTTCTTACATGGAGATACGGAAATATTCTGATGAAATATAAATGTAATATTCTGATAAACTTCCTGTGTGGCTTTCTTGTAAGATGACGTTAGAAGCACACTAATTGTTACAAAACAGAAATATATTTTGCATGATAAATATTGAATTTTGCATCCTCTTAATGTGCCTAATATCTCATTTATTAGCATATATAGAGTAATATCAAGCACTGTGTCCCTCACAACAGACAATAAAAATGAAACTTACTTGATACATAAATTAAAATTTTTTGTGTTAGATAGCTATTACTATTTCTAGTAGTTTTTGGACTGTGCTGTGTTAATAATATATTAAATTATTACCCATGTAAGTATTACATTAAATGCATGCAAGATTGCATCCATGTGTATGCCAAACATATTTTAAAGTTAAAGTTATAAGTATTATTGTTTACAAAACTTAGGACATAACTCTGTACATAAATGCTATACAGTTAAAAAGTAACTTGATTGAATTCATTGCTATGGTCAACTTATTTGAATTCCTTTGCTTTTGCGTGTC